TAATGAAGTTTAAGTTCAATCAAATGATGCATTTTTACAAGTTTTACATGTTTTATAGGGATCAAAGTCTTGAAACTGAGTGAAACGCATAACAAATATAATAATTAACATGCATTTTTACTTATTAACTGAGATTAACCGACAACCGAGAAAGATCGAAAATTTTAACCGACTACCGACAAAGTAACTAAATTTTAACCGACAACCGACAAGTGGACCCCCCCATTCAGACCCTCTTTATACCTTCTTCTGACGTCTGAAGCGGTTATTTTAATGTTTCACTCAATTTGGCGATAGTTCTCACGGTTTGAATTTTGATAAATTTCGTGACACAGCTTCTTTAAGAGGCTTTAGCATCGATTGTTCAGACTTTATTTCTAGATACTGCCTTCCTTTTGGGTGGCCCATAAACGATACTTCCTCATTGGAGCCATGCAAGATAAAGTCAAGCAAAAAAGTGAGCTTTGTTGCGCCGCAAAATGTACAAAATAACGCAAGGCATTTATACCGCGAAATGTAACAAAACATATGGTATAAAACCGAAATGTCAGTAATAACTTTTAAAGCAAAATGTAGCAAACGTATGCGAAATGTTAACATTTTTCACGCAAAATGTGGTACCTTTTTCATTAGAAAGAAACAGTTAACGGTGTTTGCCTCTTTTAAAAAAATTACTTGACAAAGGGATGCTATTATTCATCATAAAGAGTATCTGTTAATAGTGAATAAAATGATACTATTCCCACCTCAGCGTTCATTTCGTTGAACTCGATTTAATGCGTTTATTGTCCTCCCTTAATCTTGCTTATGAGGGACAACCCCTAAGCTACCCCCCGCCCAAATGATACAGGGAGCTTAGTTCACGACTTGGGCAAATGGTAAGCAAAATTCAGGACTGGTAAATTTCGTCCCGGAATCGCGTTTACTATTTGTACAAATCAGTTCCATCTACCTAAAAAAGAATGCAAAGGCCTGAAACTGGTATCAAAGATGGCGTTGGAGAAGTGGAACCTGTACCCGAATTTCTTTTTGGACCATTCCGTCCGAAAAAAAAAAA